GCATCAAAGGCAGAAATAATAAATCTGTTTCGGCATTCACTGCTAAAATTTTTAATGAAAAACTTATTATTGATGTAAAAGAATGAAAAAATGATATTTACTTGGTAATCAGCATCTTATTTATTGCAATAACTTAACAGACTCTTATTGTTTCTTAAGTTGCATAACCTGTTTTCATATTTTCTTGTCATCTTTATGTTTTACTCTTCTGTGTTATCAAATAAATACGAAAGGTATGTTTATAACTAAATATCCTTTTTTTCATAGCAGTGTTAATGTACCATGATGTGATGTATGTCGGTATTTACTATATAGTTATGAACATTATTTTGTTATAGAGTTTTATGTATTTATTATTGTATTTAGTTTATATCATTATGTATTATATAATTTTCCTTTTACAATATATTACACTGCATTTTTTTTTGAGTTGTTAATAGAGCTATAGTGTACATTTTGCTTTTCTTTTGCTCTAAAACGTCTTTTGAATTACTTTTTTTCCAGTATGCATGTAAAACACACTTGACCTACATTTTTTACATGTATGTGATTTATGTGAATGGAATGTGTCTTTTAAGTTAGCTATTTTGATAAAGGAATTAAAATAAAATAACCTTTGAAGACTTTTCATGGATAAAACTTTGAAACAGTGCTGAAAAGCCAAAGAAGGCACACCAAACCTGAACTGCAACCCTAACGAATGGTTACGAAGAGTCTGCCTGCATATCTAGTAGCTCTATCATTGGTTATTTTGAAAACAACGCAACTTCCGACCATGTGATAAACAGCATCACACATCAAGTAACCTCTGGCAACCCCTACGAGTTTGACTGGTAGGGAAGTGTTTCAAATGAATACGAAAAATCACTCGTTTTCAAAAGTGATCGCTAATGCTGGATGCAATGATCGCTGTTTGAGTGATCATCGCTATTTCAAATGAATGAGGCCTTTAATAAGTTTTTCATAAAAATGCTAAGAACAGTGGCAAATTTTGCTTTCATTAAGAAACAGACTTCGTAATTTCGTTTATAGCAATTGCCACATGGGCCTGCTTTTGTCAATAAAAGCTTTTCTAACGTGTCATTACTAATACAGTAAACTCTCGCTACAACGATACCCGACACAACAATAACTCCCTCTACTACAATAATGTTTTGTGGTCCCAGTGATTTAGCATATAAACTAATGTTAATCTCCCCTCAATATTGCTATATTCTCTAGAACAATAAACCTCTGTAAAACGATTTTTTCAATCTAAATTTCAGTATTATTTTCTCCCTTCATAATAATATTTGATTTCAATGCTTTTTTTTTTCGTTTTTTTTGTTTTTTTTTCCGTCTATTAAGACTCATTGGATATTCAACTTATCCCTGAATAAATAGCTATTGTTCAGATTTCAAAACAGATTAAGACCACCCTTTTGGGAATTGGAGTGGGTGAGGGGGTTGAAGTGTAAATGTATGCCTAGTTCTCCTTTCCCAGTAAGCTTTTGGAATTCTGATAAGGTTTAAGGACATCTAGACCTGTCTGATCACCTTGTCACAGAACACGTGCCCTTTGTTAGAGGAACAGGGGAGATGCAGGCGGAGTGTTGTTAAGTGACGTACTGAAAAGTGAGTTCAAATGTTGTTTTATAGTCTTTAACGATTTTTGAGTTCTACCGCAAACATTTGTTTTAAACTTTCTTTCTTTCACGGCGATATTGTTCCCTAAGATGGCAGGGCGAAAGCAACTATCTTTTCGAGATAAACTGAACGTTACCAATGATATTGATGAGGGAATGAAGCAGATTGATGCGGCTAAGAAACATGAATTATCGCAATCTACATTTGCACGTTCCTAAAGAAGAGAAAGCAAATCGAAGATGCTGTAACTTCAAATGAAATTAACCCAGAGCGAAAACGACTGAAAGAAAAATTGCGACAAATGAAACATTGATGCTGCTGTTTAAATGGTTTCATCAAAGAGATGAGAGCACAAATGTCCCAAAAATGGACCTTATTATGTGCAAAGCACGGAAATTTGCAGCAATGCTAGGGAACGAAACTTTCAAAGCTAGCAAAGGTTGGTTAATGCGTTTTTCGAGATCGTCATGGAATAACTTTCCAAGAAGTTCACGGAGAGAAAAGTCAGCTCCGATAAACAACGCAAATGAATGGCGGCAAACAAATGAAAGAATCTTAGAAAGTATGCTCCAAAAGACCTTATAATGCAGATGAAGCTGGGCTGTTTTCCAACTCCTACCTGATCGAACGTTGGCATTCAAGGGTGAAAAGTGTTATGGAGGAAGAAATCAAAGCAGAGACTGACTGTTCTTCTGTGTACAAATAGCATAGGAGCGAATAGAATACAACCTCTCGTCATTGGTAAATCATTGAAGCCAGGTGCTTTAAGAACGCGAAAAGTCTTCCCGTGGAGTATAAAGCAAATAAGAAGGCTTGGATGACGTCTAAATTTTTTCCGAATGGTTCAGAAGTTAGACATGAAATGAAGAAGAAAGAAAAAAATCGTTTTTGTTATAACTGCGGTGCTCACACGTCATTTCCAAAGCTACAAATCTTGAAATCGCTTTTCCCCCTGCCAATTGGACTTCATTTTTTTACAGCTTCTTGATATGGCATAATTAAGTGCTTCAAGGATATTACAGAAAACGGTTGGTGGACTCCATACTTGTAAACTTGAAATAAAGTAAAGACCCTTCAAAGCTGTAAATGTCAAGGAAGCGTGTGACATATTGCTGTAAGTTGTTGGGAAGTACAGAAAAAACCATTCGGAATTGCTGGAAAAAGGCCGGTCTTCGTGTTATGGAAGATAGAAATCTGATAATGATGAAAATTTCATAGACAATGATCTCTCAGATGATCAAGAATGTGTTTTGCACATAAAAAATCCGTATCCCAACTTGAGGAAACAACGGTAAAAAGTTGGAATTAGTATAGAAGACTATTTAACAGCAGATGATGATCTTATGGTTTTTGCAGGAGTTACTGATGAAGATATTCTCTCTGAAATTACTGATGAGATAGGAAACAATGATGAAGATGATGATGATATTGATGATGATGATGATAATATAGGTCCATCACAGTCCTTATTGTCATCCCAGGAAGCTCTTCAATCTGTGAATTCTCTACGGACATTTTTTTCAAGCCTTTCGTCGACAAATGAAGAACATTTTCGTGCACTAGAGTCAATGCTACTGTATTGGTGAACTTAACAGTTAAAAAAAATCAATAAACAAACAAAATATTGGATTATTTTTCAATAAAAAGTGTTTTCAGGTATGTGAATATTTCTCTGTGTTTATTTTCTGAATTTATCTTATTATTTATTTTTTTAGTATTTAAAAAACCACTATTATTAGTATTTTTACAATTAATTTCTTCTAAATATAGACTTAAAAGTAGTATGTTATGCACCTTAAACTAATAATAATAATACTAATAAAAAAACTCTTTTATTAAATGCTCAAAATATGTGGGCCCTTGATATAACAATATGCCTCTCTACAACAACATATTTATTTGGTCCCTAAAATATTGTTGTAACGAGGTTTCACTGTATTGGATCTAAATGTAATCTTTGTTTTGGTAATAACACTGAAAATCCTTTCACAATCTGCACTACTATGGGAAATTTTCAGGATGCCCAACATTATTCTAGACAATTCACTGTACTTTAAAATTTCATCAGCACCTTTCAATTTTTCGACTAAACTCCACTAGGTTTCTGATGGCTTTATAACTTTATCATCCAAGTTTTCTAACTGCAAGCTGCAAAACTGAGACTGTGAATTATCAGTTGCAACATCAATATCATCATCTTTCAAAACTTAAATGATATAAAACTGGAAATCTATTAAAAAAATATAGAAAGGATGGATTTGCTAGAGCAAAAACATCTACAGCTTTGTATGTAAAATCACAGCATCATTGATTGGGAATTTATGTAGTATGTAATCAAATACTAAACACAATTAATAACTGAATATTTGTTTTTCGTATCTAATTCTTTAAGAATTGCAGCTGTTTTTGTCCTTGCACTTTGTCCACTCTATGTGATTCGGCTATCAGAAAACATTTTCTAGCTGCAGCATGATCTGATGCATTCAGCAGCAGGCTGTGTTCCAGTAAAAAGGCAGAGAACAGGTATTCTGCATTAAAAACTTTTTGGTTCTTTGTTTCTATAAAAAACTTAATTTTTTCTTAATACAACTCATTTTGTCCTTGTGTTTTTATGTATGTGCATATTTAAGAACATCAGCCCTTCCACCGTACACACACACACACACACATATATATGTATGTAATGACTCAGTGGTATAGATGACTAGATTCCGAACTGCACACACAGAATAACAGAGTCATTTAGATATCATAAGGATCAGAAGATTGTGGCATTGAATAATTCGGAGAGATGGTCGAAGATTCAAAAATAATTTTCATGTCTTGCTAAAGCAATTCTTAAACTATGATCTGATTCACATATCAGGATGGGTGCAATATACATCTCACAATATTATTAGCTTATCACATTTTAAGATAATGGATAATCCTGTGTTTCAAGAAAGAAAGCAAGTGGCAGCAGTATGTTGGCAGAGTGAAAGTAAAGCAGGTTAAAAAAATGAAATAGACTGTGCAGAAGTGGAATTCACAGTAAAAAAATTCTTCAATTTCAACAATCCTTCAAGAATAATTATCATTATTCCCTCCCCTCAAGAATAACTGAGAAGATGCAAGAAACATATGCTCAAAAACATACTTTTCATTCTAATTCAGAGGAACATATTGCACTTAATAGGCATATAATATCAAATATTTAATTTTACTCCATGCTTTGACAGGTATAATTCCTTGCAAACTTTCAAAATGTAATACAATTTTGGTGGCTCAAATTTTTTTTTCTCATATGCCCACAATTTTCCCACCAAAAATATTTACCATAAAAGCTACAAAAATTATATAAAAGAATCATAAATAAATCATTAAATTGCACTTACAAGTGGGAGAAGAGCCATAAAATAACGATGTATTTCCCATTTTTGCATATTTTTACAGAAGTGTCTGAAATACATGGACTGTTTCCTGTTGTTGTCTTCAAAGGCATTTAAAATGCGAGAACCATAAACATCAATATCAAAATTTTCTCTTTTCTCCTGCATAAAATGAAAGAAAATATTATGAAGGATAAGAAATAAACTTTTGAATAATTCATTTTAATAAATAATAAATCTCCTCCTACTAAACTTTGAAAACTAACTGCAAAATACTGATAAAATTTTTTGGTGTTTCACTGTGATAATTTTGTCATAGATTATTACCCTACTTCCTGATAAGCTATTGAATTTAAATTTTGTACATACACTGCTGGTTGACAACAATGCAATGTGGTAAAAAGAGTTTTTTTCTAAATTCAAATAAAAATTTTTTATTTAATATTTAAATGATTTTTTGCATATACTTTTGTTAAACAAACAAACATAAGAGAATTTTACTGTTTGTGCCACTGAATACAGCAAAAAAGAAGCTTTTCATTGAAACTTGAATGAAAATTGTTGTTCAGTTTCTTAATTTTTGAAATTCACCCTGACTGTTTGATGTTTATGATTTTAAAATTTCAAGATCTAAAAATGTATTGGATATAAAGATTCCAAATTTTTGCAGATTATACAAGAAACTTTTCACCCTATTTTAACACAGAAATAATAAGATATTATTAACTGAGCGATTTTATATATTTTTATGAAGCAGATGGAAGAAAAAAGTATTTCTCACAGAAAACTACCGTAATTTTGCACGTATAGTCCGCAAACATGATTTTATATAAAAAGAAATTTCAAAAATCGTCAGATAGTCCGCGGACTGTACGTCTGAAATTACGTTTTTTTAATACGGCAATATTAATGCATTTTAGAAACAAAGAACTAAGTATAAATAGAAAAAAAAAAAAAAAAAAAAAGCGGTTTCATCAACGTTATCGAAGATGAAAGACAAAATACGAAAACAAAATACTGTGCAACGTGCTATCCTCGTGATAAGTGGTAATGAAATGTGACCTTCGACCCCACTCACTTGGTGTTGCCAAACCACGCTATAAGTAAACGAATCACATTTTTTTTCGTACTCCAGGTACTTGCTACTAAGGGTCCTAAAAAACCGAGCTGACGCATCAACAACTTTTCCCCCTCCCGGCAGTTGCGCTAAAGCAGTGCGAAGGATATTGGGATACAATACTCTGGTTGCGCTAAGTGAGTGCTCATATCCTGGCATCACTTGATGCGCCCAGCCTGGATTTTAGGAGCTCTACTCATTCGTTCTGCACTATGCTCTATGGTTTACTATCGATACGATATACACAAATGTTTTCTTGGAATCTCTCGCTTTTTTTATATTTGATCATCGGCAGTTCACGACAGCGTGTTTTTTAAATTTCAACGATTTTAACCATGAACAACCAGCGTATTATCCACACTGGTGGATAGTCCGCAGCTTCAAAAATTCGCACTTTAAACACAGATAGTCCGCGGACTATACGCGCGAAATTACGGTAATTTTGAGTTTCCATTCTTGATACACTTGTTGATATCCCCCCTGTTTTAGCTTCAAGTTAAATGCTCACTGTAACATTGTTATTATATCCAATTTCTGCAACTGAATATTCAAAGCAATTTCTCCATTCTCTGAATGATGTTCAGTTATTTTCCTTTATTTCATAAGTTTCTTCTAATTTATTGCTTGTGTTTTAATTATGAATAAAACATTTTATCATTGATAAAATGTAATTGTTTAAAAAATAATTAAATTAAAAAGAAGAAGGGTATTTAAAATGCTTATTTAAAAAAATTAAAATGGATATGCTTATTAATGCTCTAAAAGTAGAAAAATAATCTGTCATATAGTTTAATAGGAACAATGCACTAGTCCAATTTACAGAATTCATCTACAATTTCATGTCACGAATAACAAAAGCATGGATTGCCCATGGTAAATTAAAAGGTAATGGCTTATACAATTGACATTTGAATTCAATTAACGGATTTTGTTATTTAGGTGCCAGATGCTCTTATTACTTGTGATATAAAATTGTAAAAGAATTCTGTAAACAGAATTACTTTATCTACAGTTCCCATTAAACAATATGATAGTATTTTTTTCTTTTAGCGCAATAATTTTCATATCCATTTTAAATAATAACTTTTATTTAATTGCAATTTATTTTATTTATATTTAAAAATAACTAATATTGTAAGGCATAACATGACTGATTTAGGACATACATATCATGAGCTGCAAAACTTGAACTGTTACACTCTCAGCACAAGTGTCATCAGAAAAATTCTTTTAAGAGCTGGAAGAGGATGTAAAAATTGGAGATAAATAATTACATCAATAAATTTTTAGTTGGGGACTTGCAAGTAGACTTTTATTTGATTGTGAGAAGTGAGGGTGATGCATTTGCCCTCCTCTGTGAGTCCCATTCCTGAGTACAATTGTTTTTAGATCTATTCAAGAAATGATTGCTGCATTTAGTATACATCTAGTACATATCTGTACATAATATTTATTACCTTGATACATAAAATAATTTATTTCAATCTTCAGATCAAAACAATGATTTATAAAGCAATGGAGTGCACAAGACAAGATAAAACAACATGACAACAAAATATTCAAGATAGACATGATACACATGTCCGCAAATGTTCTCATGCAACTTTTATTTTTACGACTACTGGTCACAGAAACGAGATAACAACTGAGAAAAAAAATTTCTGTGTTACTGTACTAAGTGATGAGCAATGGCATGCAGATTGCTGTTAGAAGGAGAGCTTAAATTGTGCCGGACCCCCACCGGAGCCTAGTTCGCCACTTTCTCAGTTTCCAAGGTAAATCATAATTCTAGCCAGAGTGCACTGGAGCCCTAAATAAAAGGGCTCTAGTACTTCTTTTATGTAATTGAAACAGTTTCAGCAAAAAAATTTTATTTAAAAAATAAATAGACCTCTAAAATTGATTATAACTTCAGAATTCGTGCCTATCTATGTTTCTCCGGGGAACAAACACTTTGACGGAGGTTAAGACTTAAGAAAAGCCTCCATCCACATGTCAAAGGTCTACTCTCCACAGTGATTATCTTGGTTTTCTACGTTCAGTGCTAGTGACCTCTCACTGCAGAGCTCCTGCAGACAAACTATGCAACCAAATATAGGGAACAAAAACTGTCACATATGCAACCTTACATTTGTTTACCTGTTGTCATCCGATTGGATCTGGAGGAAATTTTTTGCCTTTTTCCAGACTCTCATATTATTTCTAGCATTCTATTTTCATTAGTGACACTTTAATCATTTTACTTTTTCCCACTGATGTGCTGGAAAAAAAAATCCCCCCAACTGAAATCATATGTTTTACTGTATATTTAGGGTCTAAACTCAACAGCAGGCCAGCGGAGCTATTTATAAGTTTTTGTTTGAAATTGTAAGTCCAGTTGGAACCCCAAATAAGATGAGGTTCGATATTTTACTTCTTTCATTTAATTATTTATAATTAATTTAATAATTTATTAAATTTTTATTTATAGCTTTATATTTATTTCCCCCTTTTCTCTGATGGTCTTCCAGACACCTCCATCACTTCTGATTTTAGAAATTACGCCCTGGTTAAAAGTATTGACCCATATTCTTTCTTCCTTTTTTGAAAAAGATCTTCTTTATAAAATCTTCATAATCTTTCATAATTCATGCTCTAGAAAACAGTAGGAGGCTTCAGTTCTAGAACACAGACAACTTTTAACATTATTTGCATAATTAAAAAATATTTCTGATTTGATGAATTTTTGTATGATTATTAGATTATGATTTTAAAGTACAAAACTGAGAATAATCATGCCATACTTTAAACCCTTGATAACTCAGAATTATTTGTGTAAAATTTCTTTCGAGATACCACATGTAACTAAATTATAAATTAAAGGATATGATACACTGATAAATCCAAAAGAATATCACTGAATGATACAGAAGAGAGAAAAAAAAAATCAACCTGGAATCATTCTAATTCAAATTTTAACCAATCTCTCAAGGCAAACTGAAAATGATGTTAAAAATCCGAAATTTTGTCATGTTGGCCAATTTTTGTCAAATGAGAGTAAAAAACCTTTAGTACTTAATTTTTCAAATTGTAATAAACATCTACTAAACATAAAGATAGCAAAGGAAAGGCCATATTAAAAAGTTAGATTATGTAAATTTTACAAGATGAATTTTTTTAAAAATTTAAAACTGCCAAAACATGAATATTTGAGTTTTTTAAACATTTTTATAACTGGAAGTAGATGGCAATGACCAATGGTTTAAAAAATAAAGACTGTATAAAGACTCATGAATACAGTATATATAACATGAACACAAATCTCATGACTAGGTAAGAAGGCAGTTAAAAACAATGACAGACAGGAGATGTACGAGATGTGATAAGTCCAATAAGCAATTAATAAACACTAAAAACACAATAAACAAATATGAAACAAACATGAAATTCATAGTTGTAAGAATTAGAAATTAAATGAGAAATAGGTTAATTCTGGTGCTAAATCCGCTGAAGTAGGAGGCTGGTGGAGAACTGGAATATCTTTTTCTGTGAGCCATGTCTGCACAACAATCAATGTGTGGAAGGGAGCATTGTTGTGATGCAGTGACTAACCTCTTTGCCATCTGGCAGGACATTTTCCTTGGATTACCTTCCCCAGCCTTTTCAAAACTCGCACGTAAAAAGTACCGTTAACAGTTTGTCCAACTGGTAAAAATTCATGGTGCACCATACCCGCGTTGTTGAAAAATGCAATCAGCATCACTTTTATTTTGGATTTGACATGAAATGATTTTTTTGGTTGAGGAGAGGAAGTTGTGTGCCATTCAAATTTACGGCATCTTTGTCTCTGGGTCGTAAGCGTACACCCAGGTCTCGTTACCAGTAATAATTGTCTCAAGAAACGTCATGTCTTATTTATTTATTTTTTTTAAACATTTGACCACATGCAACTTCCGAGTCTCCATTTGATTCCGGTTCAGCAGCCGCAGGACAAACTTTGCACTGCCAAGTTTCATCTTCAAATCATCTGACAGGATTGCGTAAATGGATCCATGAGAGATTCCTAATTCCTATGCCAACTCATCGATGGTCATTCGGTCTGATCTCATTAAATGTTCCATTTGCTCTACCATTCCTTCATTTCTAGGGGTTGAAGGTCACCTACTGTGGCTCTTGTCTTTCAGCGATTCATGTCCACCCTGAAACCTAGAAAAACCACCTGTAAATGATTGTTTTCTTTAAATAATCATCACTATATACTGTTTGTAAGGCTGACAAAGGTCTCTGAAGCAGATTTTCCCTATCTGCACATGATGTTTACCTTTTGCTTGAACTTCCCCACTGCACCAACTGATCATCACACACTTCTACTTTCAGCTACACTGCTGTCACACTATCTGTTATGAATTCCAGTAGTAAATAAATATAGCGGTAGTACAAAAATAAATGAATTATTCACAGTGATAAAGGGTTATAATGAAATTCCAGGAACTTTCTGACTGCCACTCGTATATGCCTTTTAACCTTTTCCCAGGAGCTAGGACATATATGCCCCAGATGTTCATTACATTAAATAAGGATCAAGAAATTTAAGTCTATGTAGGTTTAAAATTTGCTACTTTATGCAGAGCAGGAAATAGCAGACCCTGTTGAATTTTCTTTTCTTTGCTAACTGAGTAGTTGACTAAATGGTTTCATTTCACAAAATAACCCAGATGAAAAGGTTAAATGCATTTTAGTAATTATTTTGTTTTACATGGAAAACTACGCATATTATAAGAAAATATAACTAAAACAGACCTGTTCCTCTAAGAAAGGTACTATACTTTCTTCCCATTCTCGAGCAGCTTCTGACAGCTCAGTTGTTATTGAAAATTTCTGCAGTTCTTTGGAACAGAGATCAAACTGTTCTTGAGCTAATTCTCTTAAACTTTTTTGAGGAGGTTCTTCAGCAAGAGGATTTTCTTCTGTGGGAAACTCAGGATCTGGAGAGTTAAAAGGAACTATAAATACATGAAAATTCTGTCCCTCTCTTTTTTTCTTTTTTAATTAATAAAAACTAGCTGCAGAAAACAATTCTGATCAAAACAAAAAATGTACATTTACAAACTTTACCAATTCCAAAAACAAAATTATCATACTCTATTTTAACACATTACAGCTTTTAACCAGAAATATATCATGTTTTCAATGTGATACAGAAATTATTTTGACTGTTCTGCATTTTCATTATAGTTTTATAATAGCAAAAAAATTTCAGAATACATAAGATGCTGCTTTGTTTTACTAATTCCAAATACTTCTGAACAGAAACTTTAAAACAGTAGTAGTTTGGAAACTCAATTAAAAATCAGAATACAAGAGGTAACAGCTGCCAACCTTGAAATATATATATATATATATATATCAATGGAATTTCTGTTAGGATTTCACACTGTGTGGCACTGCCATTTAAAAAGAACTCAAAACTGACTCAAATTCACTTTAAAATATGTGATTTAGGTTTTTGAACTATTTGCAAAATGATTTTGATGTAAAATTTAGTAATATTTCAAAAATTTTATGTACTTTGGTTATTTTCATTTTGTAACGATCTTACATTTTTATACCAAGGAAATCCTGAGTAAACAAGTAATTTATTTACCTATTAAGTATTTTTAAATAAGATAAAAATAAAACTAACAATTAATGTACACCATGCCAAAAAAAAAAAAGGAGGGAGACAGTTTTATACCTCCCGTTCTACTACTGAGCTGATTGCCAAAATTCAAATTGCGTTTTTCATGTCTCGGAAGTGCGACATAGGTCATATATTAGATTTATATATAGCATTGTTCTAACATAGGTATTTGGACACAAAGTCGGACTTTTTCTGAAATAACATACCAATTTTTTTACATATTTCGATTCTACGACTCAGATTATGCATAGATATCAAATTTTGTAAAATATGATGTGAAATTTACTGAGAAATTCAAAACTTTATCTTTGCACAATTTTATACATTTGCGCCACGAATAATTCACTTGGCAAACTTCTTAATATATGGCATCTTGTTGATGCCTTTTTACATTGTGCATGAGCAGAAAAAAAGTCACATCGTTCCTTCTTTCAAACAATTTTAGCAAAGTGTCTAAACCACATTTGATATTTTATTGCTTTCAACAAATATGCCAAATTTTATAACATGCCAATATATAAATCCATGTACATCTCCAGAAATTTTGAATAAAAAACCGTAATTTTTTGCAGGTATGCTTAGAAATACATCTACTAATAATTAATTTATAAAAATTATTTTAAAACATAAATTTTAAAAATAAACCATAAAAATGGGTGAATTTTATTTGGCATGAACCTGAATTTCAAAATGTGAAAGGAAGAATCAAGTAAGTTTAGTAAAAAAACAGAGATTAATAAATATAAACCAAACTCAATTAACATTATCAGAGGTGTTTGTGAGACCCCAGAAAATCCCCTGAAACTTTTACGGACTTACTACCGACATTTTAGAGTTTCGAGAAGGGGGGGGGGAGAGAAATGAAAAATTACAATTATGAAGTATTGAATGACCTAATTATAAAAGTTCAATGAATTACTTTTTTCGCAAAATTAATAGCCATAATTTTTCAAACATATAAACTACTAACTTTTATGTAAATATTTTAAATTACCTGAATTAATTCTTTAAAAAAATTATCTAATATCTGCTGCTTTTTTTTATTTTCTGATGTTTGTGGGCTTGTCTTTCTTTTGTGGTGAACTTCATAATTGCAAGAAGGTTGACTTTTATTTTCCTCATTTACAGTTGAAGAAATTTCCTCGAGAACTGCACATGCAAAGGTAGAAGCAGTTTGCTTTTCTGCTAATGTAGAAGGTTTTTCAGAGACTTTTATAGGTGACTCATCTGAAATACATGTTTTTTAAGTCCTCTTGATATGTTTTCCAACTTCTGTTCACATTCAGTAAGAGATCTTTGTGAATTGGACCAGTCATTGGATTTTTTTAGCCATATTTTTCACATGAGGTTTCTTTAGAAGCCATTAAATCATATTTAATAGCCTGCACTGCATCTAGGGAATCAATCTTAAGAGAGGTTCTATAGTCAGTGACAAGTGTATCCATTAAGTTGAATGCACTTTCCACTAATGGGCCATGGAAGCAGCTAAGGCAGGCTTTGACCAATTTAGCCAATGTAGGATACTTATAATCATTTGTGAAATCATCTTTTAAATTAAAAACTTTAGACCAATATTTATCAATTGTACACTTGATTGATTTCCACTTTCATCAGATGTGTAGAGCATTTCTTTGGTGATATCAATATCACTCTGGTATAAACCTTATTTCAGCTTCTACTTTTGACTTTCATTATCACTAAAAATATGGGACATAAAAGATGATAATTTTTCAAAAGCTAATATTGTACTGGTTTTATTAACCTCTTAGCTCTGGATCTAATGCTGTAAAACTAATTAGATATGAATTTTTAAAGGGGTAATTTCTGTTTCATATGCTATGCTGTATTAGTATAAGCTTTCATCAGAGAAATTTGGAATTCTTTTGCTATTGGATGATTTTTTTGATAATTTCTTCAGAAGAGTGGAAGCTTCTGCACCAGTAAATATTACTTTGCTAGGTAGATGGAATTCTGGATTTGTGACATCAACCTTTAATAAATCATTATAAGATGTGCACTCTATATATTTTCTGGCTTCATAAAAAAGAGAAAAAATTTTGCCATCAATTTATAAAATACTGGAATGTATTAAATGAAGCATTGGTTTTTTTGTTTCAAATAATTTAATATATGTGTTGAACTCTGGTAATACTGCTGAATATAATGCCATATGCAATAAAGTTTTGTTTTGCATAACAAATAACCCATTAGTATTCTTTTTTTTCGAGCTAAAGCATCCTTTGTGAGTTGTTGGGAATGCAAGCAAGAATACACCCCTTCAACAATTTTTTTCTGAGCTGCAGAAATATTTCTTTTATTGTATACAGTTTCAACATAAGAAAAATAATCCCCTTTATCAGTTTTATCCAAGTAGTGAAAATAAAATGCAATAAGAGCATCCCACAGATCTTTGATTCTTTCTAAAACACATAAAATGTACATGGTCTGGTCTCTTCAAGGGCTTAAGTTTTTTAATGGCAAGGGATTCACAGATTTTGAAAAAATTTTCTCTTTTACTGCAGTTTTTCATATCAAAATAGATGTCATCAAACAAATCTTCTAAGTATCTATCAAAACATGAAGCAAATTTTTTTGCACAGTTATTAGCTGTGTGACATGTGTCACCATCAATATCTAATAAAAGGGGTGCTTTGTTTGATCGTAGTCTGGTTTCAACACCCTTTTTTTTTCCACGCATGGTGTTACATGAGTCCATTAATACACTAATTAAGTTTGCCCATGGAATATTATTATCTTCAATAGTATTAACAACTGCTTTAAAAACAGCTTCTGAATTGCAAGATTCCATCTTTAGAGATGCAAAATGATGAACTACAACTTCATTTTGATTGTTGTCATAAAACTGCACCAATATTGCCAGTATACTTTCTTGAGCATTGCTAGTACTTTCATCCAAATTTAGAGAAAATGGAGTTTCCTTTAAAGTTGTAATGATATTTTCCTTAATAGTTTTTGCGAGCCCATATTTCATCTTATAACATGCAGTAGTCCTGGATATTTCCAACAAGTTTAGTGCTGTCTGATCGCGGCTCAACTGTTTGCAGAGTTCAATTAAATTGGGAGCTACATTGAAAGAAAGAGAACTCTCAGCGATAAACGAAGTTATTAATACCTCTTGGCGTGCTTTTCTTATCACTATATCCAATGGCCGAGCATCAGTCTCCAGTAACTCATCAGTATTTTTTGAATTAGCATAATTACTTAAAGTCATTGAATGTCTAACGCACTTTGAATATTTTATGTGCATCACAGTTTTAGAATGATTTGTGAAAGCCTTGAATCCTTCCCCACCATACTTCAGCAGTGAGTTACAAAAAACACAAAATGCTTGTCCAGCAACATTTATTTTCTTGCACCATGTGCCAATGGTATCCCCATTACCATCTCTCCATTCAATCCAAAATAAATAAAAAAAATTATTCTTTATATGTTATTAGAAAATCAACCAAAAAGCAGCGACCACAATGTAATTGAGAAACAGTCCTTAGCCGTGAAAAGGTTGAAAGCCATTCGGTTAGGACTATTATCTCACATACTCAGCTACTTCGCATACATGGAACATAGCATTCGAAATGAAAAACTCAATATTTACTACAAATTCATTGGTGTAACAAATATCTGTCTTCCTACACCTATGGCTTTAAAAAAAGATGTTATTTATCTTACAGTTTATCGTTAAGTAATACATTTTCATTGTACAAAATTGCATTCATTCAAAGAATTCAATTTGTATTTTCCTCTGTAGAAAACTGAATGTAGAGAAGTTAGATGTTTAAACGACCCCCACATTTTCTCAAGACCACGAGCAAGGTTATCCCCTGCTTTTCAGCCATCCCCCCCCGTGAAAAAAGGGGTTCTAAATTTACGACCTGACCGCATATGAGGGTATTTCGCCGCGCCTACTTGCCGAAAAGAATCCAGAAGAGAATCTCCGAGAACCGGGGGAATGAGTCTTAACTCGCAATAAGGAAAGAACAAAAAAGAAGTTTTTTCCCCCTTTTCACGCATTATCACTGCCTTTGGAGAAAGAAAGGAAAAGTTTAGACCACACACACTGACCTTGCGTTTTCTGCTTTCAAAGCAAACAAAATTACCCAGATCAAAATAAATAATTCATTATTATTCCTACTTCCTTTTGAATGACGATCCCCGGAATTTCCAGGCATCGAAGTTCAAAATCCCGGAGCACAAACACCCCTGCATTATGGAGCTAAAGTTTTGAGAGCTAATTTTTTAAAAACTACTCGTGCGATTTTTACAAAACTTGGTAGTTTGGCGCAATTT